GAAGAACAAGAGCAGAGATGTAGAGGTGTATTCAGATAAAGCCTAAAACAGTGTTGTCCAAACTTGGCCACTTTAAGATGAGTGGACTTCAACTCCCAGATTTCCCCAGCCAACAGGGGAATTCTGGGAGTTGAAGTCCACACATATTCAAGTGGCCAAGGCTGAGAAACACTGCTCCAAAGTCTGCAGTCTCAATCCAAACTCAGATGGGTTCATGTAACATCACACAAACCATGATGATCTGATTCACACAACAGGTTTAGATAATGACTGAGTGCCCTGAACCAGAAACTACCCAACCCCATTTGAGCTGAGTCAAATATGTCTTGTGAATCCACCATCTGTCTTGCTTGGGTATCTCACATTCTCTAGATCGACTTGTCGCGAATGCAATTGAGGGTCTACAGACCCTACAGAAAAGCAATATTGAAAACCCAGGCTTGATAGGACTATAGGTAGATAGGCCTTGCTTAAGAGAGAAGAGGCCCTGGGTTCAAATGCCAGACCTTTTAAAATTGAGAATGTGTGCACATGCAGATCTGTGCGCTCCATTACACGTGGGCCTGACAACCCAAGTTCAGTGATCTACTAGCTTAATCTTTAAGCAAGTTAGATGACCACTGTGATCAACCTAAGCCAAGAGTGGAGTTGTTACAAGAGAGAGTTCAATAGTTATAGATTGTAGAGTGGCCAAGGGGATCTGTGTATCTCTCCAGAGTTTAATGGACTGAACAAAATCACTGGATTCAGTTATCTTTCTGAAGTTGCCATGAACTTTCTCCTTCTGGTTTGAGGGCCCAGTCTTGGTGGACACAAGGCAGTTTGCCAATTTGCATAGGAGAGAAGAGTTTTTTTAACTGAGTAGCTCAACCCTTTTTATGCTGTGCCTGATGAAGAGCTCAGAGGATGTTCCAAAGATAAAGATGGAGAGTGCCCGGATTCATAATTCATGACTGGACAAATAAATCTTGATGATTCACATGTAAACAGATGCTCCTAGTTTATGACTCCACCAAGCCAAGCCAACGCCTCTTCTTGACATTGGGGATTATGGAAGTCTTTGGGACCCACAAAAGGATCTCTACTTTACCCCTCATCTCTACATATTTTTTGCCAACTTGGAGACCACCCATTCCAGTATCCCATTTCTGAGCTCCTGTTTCCAAATTGGTCAATGCCTCACTTCCCTTCCCTGATTGGTGTGAGGTTTTCTCCTTTCTGTCTCTGACAGTGCATTAACTCCATTTGATCTTCTGAATTATTCATCTCTGTGGAAACATTTCTGGGCACGGAAACCTTTTAAAGAGACATTTTGTCCCTGGCACTTGGGGCTCTTTTTCCAGAAATAATAAAGCTTTTAGGAATCTACTAGTAGAGACCTTTTTTCCCCACCCTCCCAAATCTCTCATTTTGGGTGTGATTATGGGATTTCTTGCAAGGCTCCTTGCTAGAGCATCGATCTGTCAGAAACTGGTTTTCAAGGAGCAGCGGTTAGAGTAATTTCTGAGTCACCTTTGGCAGGACTGCACTCAATAAGCTAGTAAGCTTGCAAGCTATCAAGGAAAATACTTCTTTCCATGCACAGGACAGGCTTCGGAAGAGATATAAATGGAGTGAGCCAGAGAGAGAGAGGGCTGAGTGACAAATGGAAGGCAGAAACGAGTGATGGAGCCCTCGGGAAGAGCGAAAGAAGCCCCCCGTGGGATCAATAGACCAAAAGAAAGGGTGTCTGGAGGCTGAGCATCTGCAGACGGCAACAGTACAAAGTGGATGCTCAGCAGAAGTGGATAACCAAAAGGCAGAAGAAAGTCTCAGAGAGCCAGTGCGATAGAAGGGGCAGAGGCAGACAGATGGGATGTTCCCCGACGGACGGATCGTAATGCTCCCAAGCAACAGATCCTGTGCGGACAATCCCTCGTTTCCTCTTCTTTTTTTCCTAGAAAGGAACCAGACAGAAGACTCAGCGGGGGAACAGAGGATGCTGACGGGAGACAGCGGCATTTATCCCCCCGCGTGAATTCCAGTGAAAAGGCAGCGTGATCGTAGAGTCTCCAGACTCCTGGAAGTACAGCAAGAAGGCTCTAGAGGCAGGGATCGGAGGACATAAAGGGGTGCGAGGGGACCTCGGAGCTCCAGAGATTGGAAGACGGGCAAGAGGGCGAGAAAACGAGGGATAGGACAGTGATCCCAAGCACTGTGAGAGAAGGGAGAGTCCCCAAGGTAGGGGAGAAAAAGGACCGTACACCCTGAAGGTAACCGGGACTGAAAGATCATAGTCGACTTGGACGGTACAACTGAGCTGGGCCTGGGGGGGTCAGCAACTTTGCCCCCATGGCCCATGCTCCACCTTCTCCTCTGACCCCCAGCAACATCCCCCGCAACCTAAGCTATATTGCAGGCCTGTACGAGAGGGCCTATTACCGCACGGCCCGTCCAAGCCTTGCGGAGGACTCAGGAACCGAAGGCTCCGAATCAGAGTCCGAGGGCAGGCCAAGGGGGAGGCCCCGGAGACGTCGCCACCTCTTCGGGGGACCGAGAAAGAGGGGAAGGCGCCGGACTCGCTCTGCCCCTGCTCAGGGCAGGAGCAGAGGGGCATCGCGCAGCCGGAGTCCTGGGACCCGCAAGAGAGTACGCTTCGCCGACTCGCTGGGCCTGGAGCTCATCAGCGTGCGGCAGTTCTGGCCCAACGACCTCCCACAGGTGCCGGAGCGGGTCCAGACCCAGCTGAGGCGTGACTCGCTCAGCCACTTTGCGCCATGTCTGCCGTTCTGCCCGCCGTTGAAGGTAACGGGGTTGGCCCTGCCTAGGAGCATCTCGGGGTGGGTTTGGGTGCACCTTAAAGAAAAATTAGAGCCATGCAATCCATTCTGAGTTTTCTTCTCCCCGGCAAATGAGAAGAACAGGGTGTTCGTTCCCTCGAGAAAAACAAGGATCGTTTTCTAACCAGTTTTGGGGTTGTCAAAAATGCCTGCAACAGAAATGGCGCTGCCTCCATTGGCCACATGGCGGGGCTGTTGTAAGCCTGCTATAGGAAGATAACAGCTTGAAAAGGGTGAATGAACATGTGGCTGGCCCCTCCAGACCTAGAGTTTGCTCCCCAATCTTGAGTCAGCAAAAGATTGATAATAATCTTACAGGGGTGTCCATGGCAGATGGTCAGAAAAATCAAGATGGTAGCTACAGTGATGTGGTTGAAGCTCTGCCCCAATTTGTATGTGCATTACAACTTCAACTGCACCACCGTCTTCACCTTTTTGACCGTACCTTGCAGATACCCCTGTAAAATCTTACAGGTTAAGTTTACCGGTGTCGGAGTAATCTTTAATTAACGTAGAACAGAAGGTAGGCTGCAAAAATCTAGCCATCCACGAGATGGCTGCAGTTCTCTGTATCTCTTTGTTCGTCCTGGTTTTTGCAGCCCCGGCGCGGTGGCCTTGCCAGCGGGGGCCAGGCTAGTCCATGAGAGAGACAACAACAGTCATGTGAAAAGGGCTAGCAAATTTAAACCTGCTGAATAACACACAATCCAGAAGTTTCAGCTGAGTCAGGAGCCTTACCCTGCGGACGCAACGTCCATTTCTTCTAAGGAAGACAAATGTCATTCGTCAACACATCAACATTTCAGCATTGCAAGCCCGGCCTTGAATTGTTGCAAAAGATCTGTGAGTCAGGAAGAAGAGCAAAGCCACGGGAAGCATTTTCTAGGAATACGTGAAGAACGTTTAAAGGCTTTACGGATTCGGAGGCCATACAGACGAGGATCAGCAATAATCAGTAAAGATGCTAGCAGCCACAGGTCTGGGTTTAGCCACTGAACATTTTCTCTGTTGATTTTTAGCTCCGCTTTGGAATCTGGGGATCTGTTGAGACTGTTGATGGTAGGGACCAATCTCTTTCGGCTCCTAACACCCCGGAGATCTTCCCGGGTCTTCAGCTGCTCTGGCTAAAGACAGAAAGCAAGAAGCTGTATCAGTCCTGCTGGGCTTTGAGGATGGTTGTCCTATCAAACTAGCTTAAAAATGCCCCTTTCTCTGCCCCAAGTGAGGCTCCCAGGTCCTGAAAACCTGCCCCAAACAGAAATATGCCATTCATTTCTTTACTCCAGCCGATGCCAGGGAAGAAGACTGGCCGTCACGTTCTCTCTTTCTCAGGCTCCATCTTCTCCCTTCCTTCTCTCCCTCTGCCGATTGGACGCCTCTGAGCTCCTCCATCTTCCCTTCGTTCCCCACCTTGTCCCCCCTTTTTATCTCTCCTGACTCCTTCTCCTCTCCTTTTCTTTCTTGCATCATTTCCAGACCTTTCTTCGTCCTCTTACCGACAAATGTGCCAGAAGGCATGGGTCTTGTCGGGTGGGCTTCGACCCCATTGCCCTTCCTGCTCAAGCGTAGGCTGATTCCCATTATTCCAGCTTTCCCCCTTACATCTATATCCTCTTATGGTCCCCATCACCTCATTCCATCTCAATCCTTTTCCGCTACGCTCCCTCCTGACTTCTCCTCTTTCCTTGCAGCCCCCTTTGGTTCTTCCAGTTTCCCTCGTTCTATACTTCCTAGACAGGATATTGATAATTTGTTTTTTTCCCCCTTTGCTTTGCACTCCCTTCCTTTTCCTTCCATCTCTCATTTAAGACTTATTTTCATTATTTTACCCCTTGCTATGTTTTCCCTTCCTGTCCAATGTGTCCACAAGGCCACTAAAAGATCTTCTCCTCCACGGCTTCCTTATCTTTCTGTATTGTTTTTTTTTTCCCCTCAACCCAATTGCCCTCCAGTCCAGTGGTTCTTAAATTCTTTGACCCAATTACCCTATCCTGGTTTCCAATAATGCTATTACCCCTCAAAATAAACAGACTCTTTTTTACACAAGTGTCTCAGCAGCAGCCGCAGCCCCGAAAGGATCCTCGACTCACAAATGAGCGATTGCAAATGGCTCCGTTACCCCCAGAATGTGCCCCAAGGACCCCCAGTTTAAGAACCACTGCTCTAATCCTGGGGACAAGGCTTTGATCACATGCTTGTGGCCACCATCTTGACTTTTTTGACCCTCCCCTGCACACACCCTGCCTCTCATATTGCAACAAAGCTCCAGCTCCTCCATTTCTTAATCCTCACGTTCTCTTCTTTGACCTCCTCAGGAACCTTTGAACCTGCAGACTCGCCTGCTGGAACCAACGTTCCCAGATCCTCTGAGCATGGCTGATTTCCTTCCCCGCCTCCTGGCCCAGTGCGTGCTGCTGGAGGGAGTCCGGGCCGAGGGATCCTGCATTTCCGGCACTATCCGTGTGCTCAACCTGGCCTACGAGAAAAGGGTCTCTGTGCGATACACCTGGGACTTTTGGGCCACGGAGCATGAAGCTCGAGCGTCCTACGCCGCCCCTGCAGGGCGGGACCGGGACCACGCCGACCGCTTTGCCTTCCGCCTGCCGCTGCCAGTCCCGCTATCCGCAGGCGTCGTGCTCGAGTTTGCCCTCTGCTACCTGGTAGGGGGGAAGGAGTTCTGGGACAACAACCAGGGGCGTAACTACTCTCTGCGGCCACCTCCTTGCGTGGCGGAGGAAGACGAACCCGCCAGCCCCATTCAAGATTGCTGTGAGACGGGCTGGATACACTTTCTGTAGGCAAAGCCCCATCTCCAGGAGAGAAGAAAAGATGGGGAGACTTGCTCGAACTCAAGTCTGATGGTAACGTTTGAACATCGAGTTTGAAAGCAGAAGGCTTGGTTGCTACATGCACAGGGGCACCCAGGCACCCGCACACCCGCCCAGCAGGATTGGCTCAGACAATCTGGATTCGCTCCCCATTCCCCAGCATGCCCTTCTCTAAGCCAAAATCCGCTGCCTGTAGCTTTCTCGATCCCCAACAGGCCCTTCACACAACCTCTGACGTGAGGCCATCACCTGGAAACGTTGCAAAGATGCTCCCCCTCTTTCTCAAGACTTGCTGACTTGCTTGCAGCCAAAATCCAGCCCGCCATGTGGATGTTGAGTGCGAAAGTCACCCCACGGGGTCTCTTCCATGTTAGAAAAGATCGAGGGCAGAGATGTCTGCAGGGAAAGGGTCACAATGCTTTCGGACCTTGCAGACAACCGAGATCCAGGGAATCGGTCCTTGGTCCCAACAGGGACAAGGGCTTGAAAGAGGCTCTAGTAACTTTATGGTAAACTAGATCTAATTCCACTCTCCCTTCCTATAACCGAACATTCATACCCTGGACCTTTTGGGGAGGGGGCCACTGTTGGATCGAAGCACAAGAGAATAGCCCTCCTGGCTTTTTGCAAAGGCACAGCTTGTACATTGCTAAGCAATTGATGGTCGCATTGAAGTTTAGCAGACATTTGTCTTCCGGACCCCTCTGTGTGTGAACGAGAAGTTTGAAACAGAAGACAGCGATTGACATCTGAGTGGATGAAGGACAGGCATTTTCTTCATTTTCTGTTTTCCTTGCCCCATTTCAAGGGACTCATTTGCACATGCTGTTTCCCCCCCTTTTTGCATGAACGCGTAGGAAACCTGGAATGTATGAGCGCTTCCATTTGCATCCTGTTTTGCATCTTCTATGCTGGCTGGTTAAAGAAAGTCACCCTTGTTATTCCGGGTGGGGTTTTTCTTATTTTCGCCCAGGCATTGTGGTCCATGTTCAATGTGATGTTTTTTTAGACACAGAAAAAGTCCCCCAATGCTATTGCAGAACTGGCAGGCTGTCATTTAGCATAGCTTCCAGATCGGGGCATTTGTGGGAGGAAAAAGAACAAGCATTTCAATCTGTTCTATGCTTCACGGATGCATGGCTGGCTGGGGAATTCTGGGAGTTGAAGTCCACTCATCTTAAAGTTGCCAAGGTTAAGAAACACTGGTGTAGAACTTAAAAAGTTAGGACAGGGCCCCTTCACTTGGGGGGGTGGCAGTATTTGGAATCCTAGGAATGGGCACTCCCACCAAATGAAAGCCAAAGCGTCATCAATTTTGTATTTTCTTAAAATGCTTCCAATTCAGCGCAGGTCCTATTCAAAGAAACTCACCGAATCTACCAGGGTGAAGGCTGAAGGCTTGGTAAGAATCATCAGCCTCTATCTGCATCCCCTCGCTGGTGGCAGTAGGTAATTTTTGTGGCTTCAGATTTAACGGTTTGGTCTCTGCAAGTGGCAGCAGCTTGCCTGGGCTCAGAGTTGGGTTAGGACTAGGATGGGAGACCACTAGGAGATCCTCAGGCATGAGGTTAGTCTGAAAAGTTGGAAAAAATATCCCAGGGAAAGGCAAACAGCCAACTGCTTCCAGATTGTTGCCAAGAAAATGACGTAGACTATCCATGAAGTCACCAGGGTTAAGTTCCATTCTTTCCTTAATGGTTTTATTGTCTTCCTCTCCTTTTAGAGTCGTATTAATTAATTGATGTGGTTAAATTGCTGCATGTATATGATTCCTGCTGTCTGCTGAGTGAAGTTCTGGACTTTGGCTCCAAGTTCATGTCCTCAGGAACACAAACTTGTCTACGGGGGTGTCTGGGGGGGTCAAAAAAGTCAAGATGGTGGGTACAAGCATGGGATTAAAGTACGTAAAAAGGGATAGGGGCCCAATTGCATGGTTCTGACTGCCATCTTGACTTTTTTGACCCACGCCCACAGATACCCCTGACTGTATATAACCTCTGCCTGGCTGGAAACCCCTGGAGATGTGTTCAAAGACACAAGACAGAACCAGTTTGCCTCATCTTTTGGAGGATCTCGCTGTTTCCCCACCATGGTCCAACCCGCAGAAAAACCCCAATTCCTGAACAGGCCCTGAGTAATTATCAGGCTGTATAAAAGTGGTGACCAGCCCAACCATTGGATTATTTTTGTGTGTCTGGGTGAGCAGTGAATTTAAGACAGAGATTGGGATTGATCTGTTATGTTTTTCGTGTTTCCTAGATAACAAGGAAAGTTCAATTCATTCATTCATTCATTCATTCATTCATGTTAATAAGTGAACAAGGAAGGGAAAAATGAATAATCTCTCAAACTAAAGAAATAAACATGGAAGGAAAACTCAGAGATTTCTCAGAGCGCTGAATTCACATTTCATACACATACAATGAACTTTTGGGCATAAAGATCTGCAGTTCTTCGAATCAAGGGGATCCTGGCAGAACCTGGAAGAGAACTGGGATTTCAAGAGAATCGTGTTTTCCCACAGAACCGGTGGCACCTCCGTTTTCTTGCCCGGGAGCTCCTGCATCGCCCCCCACCCGCCCCAGGAGGCCGCCTGCTGGGAGGTCTTGGCTTGCCAGGCACAGCAGGGTTGTTGTTGCCCTCTTGGGCAAGGAGGTTAATCCAGAGGCTTCACTGGAGGGAAAAGTGTGTGTTTATCAGTGCGAGAGGGGCAACTGTGGAGCAGAGGATAAGAAAAGAGGAAGCAAAGGATGCTGCTGCTGCTGCTGCTGCTGCTGCTGGATGGATGGATGGATGGATGGATGGAAGGAAGGAAGATAGAAAAGAGGGAGGGAGAGAGGGAGGAGAAAGGAGAGGGTATTAATGAACCTGATTACCCCCGACCCTCCTTGCAGAAAAAAGATAAAATTGAGAAAAGATCGGGCTCCCATTGTTGCTGCCACCAAGAGATCGTCCGGATTTGGGGAGGGAGAAGCAGGCCTGACCCCCCCACCTCCCCATCCCGCGCGCGCCGGGCCTGCCCCGCTCGCCC